TTTTTTTTTATTCTGCCCCCCTCTATTTAACCGTCTCCTTTTATCTAACTGTCTCCTTTTTATTCTGTCTCCGTTTTATTCTGTCTCCTTTTTTATTCTGTCTCCTTTTTATTCTGTCTCCTTTTTATTCTGTCTCCTTTTTTATTCTGTCTCCTTTTTATTCTGTCTCCTTTTTATTCTGTCTCCTTTTCTGCTGTCTCCTCTGTATCTCTCTCCCTGTTTGTGCTTTCTGTCTCCTTTCTATCTTCTTTCTGTCTCCTTTAACTGTCTCCTCCCTGTCTCCTTTCTATCTCTTTTTTGTCTCCTTTCTGTCTCCTTTCTGTCCCTTTTAGCTGTCTCCTTTCTGTCTCCTTTCTGTCTCTTTTCTGTTTTTCTTCTATCTCTCTCCTGTCTCCTTTCTATCTCTTTTGTGTCTCCTTTTTATATATTTTCTGTTTCTTTTCTGTTTTTTTTCTGTCTCCTTTTTGTCTCTTTTCTGTCTCCTTTCTCCCTACCCTATTGTTTGCTGCCCGCCACATATACAGCGCTCTCTGCTGCTGCTGTTGCTGCTGCTGCTGCTGCTGCTGCTGAGCAGCAGCAGCAGAAAGAGCAGCAACACCACCAGCAGCAGCAGCAGCAGCAGCAGCAGCAGCAACAACAGCAGCAATCTCAGATTTAAAAGGTGAAGCCAAAGAAGGCTTCCTATAGTCCCTAAACAAACTGCTGCTGCTGCTGCAGCTGCTGCTGTTGCTGCTGCAGCAGCTGCTGCAAATGCTAGTGATGCTGCAGCTGCTGCTGCAGCAGCAGCTGCTTTTGCTGCTGCAGCAGCTGCTGCAGCTGGCAGTGCTTCTACAACAATTTGTGCTGCAGCTGTTGTTGCTGCTCCGGCGGCAGCTGCTGCAGTTTTTGCTGCTGCTGCTGCTGCTGNATTTGTGCTGCAGCTGTTGTTGCTGCTCCGGCGGCAGCTGCTGCAGTTTTTGCTGCTGCTGCTGCTGCTGCAGCAGCTGCAGCAGCAGCAGCAGCAGCAGCAGCAGACACAGCTTGTCAGCAGACACCGCAGATGTATGAGGCTTCAATGCGATGCCTCCCCCTTAAGAGCCACAGCGACAACTAGCTGCTGCTGCTGCTGCTGCTGCTGATATACTTGCTGCTGTTGCTGCTGCTGCTGCTGCTGCTGCTGCTGCTGCTGCTCTTGTTGATACGTTTGCTGCTGCTTTCGCTGCAGCATCCGTTGCTGCGTCTACAGCACAACAAAGCAGCGC